AAACAATACGACATAGGGCTTATCTTTTTTATAATATAGGCCACACACGTGTGTTTGAAACTAAATATAAGCATTTTCATTATGGTTTTATTTATTACAAACATATTCTTTCACCATCAATACACATTGAGGTTCTTCTTTTAGGATAAAACGATCTATCTTAATTTTTTCTTTCTTGAGTTTGGGACTATTATGTGTTTAAATAACTTAAAAGCCCCTAAGAAATGCGCGGGAAGCGCGCAAACAATTTTTATGTTTTTAATTCTAATTTCGTCGGAATTGATGAAAACTCCGTAAAATGTGCAATTTATAGACGAAATTGGCCTACCGTAACAAGAAATGCGCGCGAAGAATTTGAGAATTTCAGGCACTTTCAGAGGATGCATTTATCTAGGGGTGGGAAAAGATTATCCAAAGATGGATATTTTTCCCTTGTCCCCCGGTGTTTTTAATTCTAATTTCGTCGGAATTGATCAAAACTCCCTGAATTGTGTAATTTTTACAGGAAATTGGCCTATTTAAACAAGAAATTTGAGATTTTTGTTCTCTTCTCTTTTCCTTTTCCTTTCCTTTACCTCTTCTTTCCCTCCCTCTCTCCTCTTTCTTTTCTCTTATTACCCGGCATGGTCAGCCTGGTAAAAACCACGTAACGCCACTGGCTAACACGCCAATCCCCCCCCCCCCCCCACCAATGAAAAATACTTTTCTAGGCCACTGGCCCCGCCCCCCTTGGATATTGTTGCTAAGGTCTCACAAAAGTAAACACGTACTTAAGCACGTGCGTCTGTGCACTTGTTTGTAGGACACGCCTGTAATTTTTGCGATGTTCCGATTGGTGAGAAGTTTGATTGACACCCCGGAAAGGTCTATTCTTACTTGTGGGTGCCATGATAGTGTACTCCGTCAAACAGAGTATTTACAGTACTATAATATAACATTATCTGTAAATTGTGTTGTTAATGTCACACCAATGTTCTTACTGAATCTTACAGCACGTATAATGATGTTGCGACTTCCAATATCAATTGATGAACACAACAAACTTTATTAAAACTATATACACTATGTACAAGAACTCCAGCTGGCGATATAGGGCTATGGTATACTCATTATCAGGTTAGTGTTAAATAAAAGTTCGAATAACCATAGCCATTTTGACGGTACCAGTGCGACCCTATTGAGGTAATGCATCAGACGCGTTTGTTAACTCTTAGGTTTGATAGGTGACAGAGTTGAATGTCCAGACTACAGTATAGGTTACTAATTATCTATGGTAGGACACCTTTATGGCCTATATACACCTTTTCTTAATGTCGCATTCGACTATACAATTCGATTATATATAATATAATACAATACAATCAAATTTATTTCTGGCAATAAACAAAATACAATACAAAATATACATCAGGTGAGGAAATAAAATCTTGCCTACATAAATCAAAACTTACAGTAGTGCTCATGAACCAAAAGAAAACTTAAAAGTACAATACATCCAAAACAAAAGTAAAAACCTTGAAGTCTAAATTACCCTAAAGTTAAAATCAATTACATACACTTATGCCTAATCATAAAACAATCCACCACTAAGGGAGGAAACAACACATTTTAGGTTTGGAAAATGTATAAATTATAAAGAAAACAACCTCCTTCCCTGTGCTGTATTCATGTCTTAGTATTCAAACAGATATCAGCATCCTGGTATAAACAACTTAAATACAAAGCAAAATTAATTAAAAAGTAATCATGGGCATCAATCATCAGATCCCATCCAATGTACCGTGCACGCCCTAACCATTGTCAAAACAGTTTCTAATACCTACGTACAATACACCTTAGTTAACAAATAATCAAGTTAACTGACTTAAACGAAAGTGAAAATATAGACTGAATTTTCTGAATACCTAATGAGACACTCAACTGCATGCAAAAACTTAAGTAACGAATATTTCACAAAATAAATAATTGGGACTTAACACTTACAAATACACATGAACATTATACTACAGACCCTAACAGTAAGGGAATACAAAACATAATGTTCAAAGAATGTTCAAATAATTTGGTCCATAAGTCCATCATTAACGTTATAATTCTTGTAAGAAAACAGTAGACGATTATATATATACATATATATATTATATATATATATATATATATAGTTGAACAGCATAAGTAAACAAATGAAGTACCAAGTTGACAGTTGACGTACATATATTTGTCATTCAATTTACATTACATGTTTTATACAAATAATAGATTACAGTATAAGTGAAATACTTACCCAGAAATTGTACCATGATTTTCGTCGAAGCTATTAGTTAATGTCAGTCAAAACGGAAGCTTATAAACTGACAATTTAATTACAATGTATATCAAATACCGGTATTCAAAATCATTATAAAATACATTAACTTTAAAACGTGTCTATTGACATGATTTCACCAGTCTCCCATTTATATAGTTTCTTGAAATTGGCAATCCACTCTTTAAACCCGTCTCAAATTGGTTGTTGGTTCAAATATACAGATTTTACAAATAGTAGGCCTACTCCTTTTCTATCACTAGAAGTTTACATAACAACCAAATATTTATTATTACATTTTACATAAAGACTACCTTTTGTCAAAGTAATTTGAATAAACGTTTTCATATATTAGTAAAATTGTACAAAGATATCGTGATTTCCTTTTCAAGTGAACTGGTTGCACTCTCGGAAACCATTGTGAATGGTCTTGATAAGCTATAGATACATACATAAACAGATTTAAAAACAATGTTTTAATTAATTAACTGCACCAACTCTTACAGGTGATAGTACCTAAATACAATAAAGAGCACCAATTACTGTACTGTATAAAAATATAAAATTCTGATCAATTTCATAGTATATTATGATGAGTATGAATTTATTCTGTGTAAACACCAAGGATATCCCAGGAAAGTCTAGAACAGGGGTTCTCAATTGACGGCCCGCAGGCAATCTCCGGCCAGCAACTGCGTGTTATGCAGCCCACGAAAACAAGCCGAAAATAATATTCCGTTAGGATTGGGCCTATTGTTGCCATTTAATTAATCAAATAGGAAAAAATATCACAGTAAAGAAATACTGTATTACCATGACTCATAGTGTGATATATAAAATTTTGGATTACCAAACACAACAAAGCTAATCCTCTAAGGTCAAGATGCTTGCATGAGCATGTAGTGGTTGGCGCATCGGTTGTGGTTTGGACTCCCAACCTCGAGGTCGGGGGTTCAAAACTCTCGCTGTGCAAGTCGCTTGTGTCCTTGGGCAAGGCACTTTATCTACGGTTGTCTCTCTCCACCCAGGAGTAAAAGTGGGTACCTGGTAGGTTCAAACACAGCCTGCGCTGAATACAGCTGCAACATTATGGAATTCCCTATGGGGTCTGAGTGTGTGTTCCATATGTGCTTGATCCAGTGATCCGGGGTAATAATGTTCAGCGCATAGAGAAGTTTGATATGCGCTATATAAGTATACAATAATAATAATAATAATAAAGCTGATTTTCATTTTCAAAATTCGTTTTTCTGATTCCTGAAGGAGTGCCCTCCCAAACTCGCCATAGAACCTTGGCATGGCCCTTCAAATTTATTCAACAATTTTTTCCCCTATTGCAATATAGTTGAGAACCCCTTGACTAGAAGGGGATTTTTCTTCTGGTAACTTGCTTTGTTTTTAGTTTTTTGTAGTATTTATACTCCAACGACTCTTCACTGAGTGTCAGCATTTGTGCAGTCAGTGCATTCAGCGTTGGTCTCTCTTGAGAACGGTTAATATAAATAATTATTAATCAGTTATTATAGATGATAATAATCATTATATGTAGAGTTATATCTCAAACAATTAGAGCAGGAAAACCTTAAAAGGTTGACTATATGAATATAAAATAATTAAATAAAAAAAGGCATGCAAAACAGAAGAAATTAAATAATCTGTGAATTTAAACTTTAAAAAAAATATAGAACATACCGTAATCGTTACTGAGATAATTACCACTGATGTCGAGAGATAATGTAATGAATCCGCTCTGAATAACATTTAATTACTGTATCTCATTCATAATATCACCTGATAGATTAAAATTTCTCTGCCAAGATTGTAATCAGGAGCAGACGTAATCATGAAAGAAGAAGCAAGAGCCAGTAATGTTGCTGAGATTATTGGTACTAACATAAAAAATGTATAACTCAAAATAATGACATCTCTAATTGAACACTCCCTATACTCAACTTTTATACTGTATGATGTGTTATCATGCAATCTATGATGTTCAAATTCCTTTTTGCCTGATGGTTGCATACGAAAAGGTATTGATACTACACCGGTACCGGTATGTATTTCATGAGTATGAGTAACATCCAATAAAGAAACAAGTGAAGAATCATCCATGTTGCTGAGATCATTTTGACTGTTATTCAGCCTCCTTAACTCTCTAAATTTATATTCTTTAAGCATTTCCATAGTAAAATCGAATAAGCGTTTATTCTCTATAAGGTCAATTTTTGGAGCAATAATAAATAAAGAATCCAGGGAAACACCATCGATGCTCAAATTAATTCTGATGAATTTTAGACGACATAATTATAACTTGACTCCTCTACTTTTGCACTCTTTGATGATATAATTTATAATAACACCTGATAAGCTGCAGTTATTTATTTTAATGTAATCCAGTTTGGGAGCAATAATAAATAAGGAAGCCAAAAAACAACCATCAGTTGTTGTTCAAATTATTGCTGCTGATATTCAAACGGAGGGTAAAATGAATCTTTTCACTAATTGTCAACATTGTTTTCTGTCAAAATACAGCATTCTTGTCAATAACGACCGGCCAAAATTCTCTCCTGAGAATGGTTAATTATTAAACAATCAGTTATTATATATTATAATATTATGTAGAACTGTATCTCATAAAAATTTAAGCTGGTGAACCTCAAAAGGCTGATTAATATGAACATGAAATAGATATGAAAAGGCATGAAAAAAGAAGAAATGTAATCTGTGAATAAACCTAACGAAAAAAATAAAGCACATAAAGGCTGCTGAGATAATTACCACTGATGTAAAGAGATGTAAAGTAATAAATTCTCTTGAATAATATTTAATTACTGTATTACTCAAACCAAGATTGTAATCAGGAGTAGACATAATCACGAAAGAAGCAAAGAAAAACCAGTAATGTTCCTAAGATTATTACCACGAACATTAACATTTTATAACGCTAATTCGATTCTAATCGAACACTCCCTATTCATAAAATCTGTATGTACGTCGGATAAATTGCAATTAGTCATTAAAAGTGTATGCAGTTCAGGAGCAATAACCAATAAAGAAGCCAGTGAAGAAAAATCTATGTTGCTGAAATCATTACTACTGATTTGAAGACGAATTAATTCTAATTTGACTTCTCTACTTGAACACTCTCTAATCATATCGTTCATAATAACACCTGATAAGCTACAATCCTCCATGTGAAGGGAACTAAGTCTAGGAGCAATAATCAATAAAGAAGCCAGTGAACAACCATCGATGTTGCTCAAATTATTACTATTGATTTCAAGGGAGCGTAAACTTAACTTGACTCCTTTACTTAAACACTCTCTGATCATATCATTCATAATATCACCCGATAAGCTGCAATTGTTCATGTAGAGGCATCTTAGTGAAGATAAAGAGGCCAGTGAACAGCCATCGATGTTACTCAAGTTATTACTATTGATTTCAATGGTGTTTAACATTAACTGGACTCTTCTACTTGAACACTCTCTGATCATATCATTCATAGTAATACCTGAGAGGCTGCAATTCTCTATATAAAGATTAGTAGCAATAATGAATAACGAAGAACCATCGATGTCACTCAAATTATTACTACTGATTTGAAGATGAAATAATTTTAACTTGACTCCTTTTCGTGAACACTCTCTGGTCATACCGTTCATAATAACACCTGATAAGCTACAATCCTCCATGTGAAGGGAACTAAGTCTTGGAGCAATAACCAATAAAGAAGCCAGAGAACATCCATCGATGTCGCTCATATTATTACTACTGATATCAAGGAAGCTAAAGTTTAAATTAGCTCCTCTACCTGAACACTCTCTGATCATATCATTCATAATAACACCCCGTAAGCTGCAATTAGTCATGTAGAGGGAACTCAGTTTAGAAGCATTGATCAATAAAAAAGCCAGTGAACAACCATCGATGTTGCTCAAATTATTGCTACTGATTGTAAGGAAGCTTAATTGTAATTTGACTCCTCTACTTAAACACTCTCTGATCATATCGTTCATAATGACACCTGATAAGCTGCATTCCTGCATGTGAAGAATATTCAGTTTTGGAGCAATAATAAATAAGGAAGCCAGTGAACAACCATCGACGTTGCTCAAATTATTACTGCTGATTTCAAGGGAGCCTAAACTTAACTTCACTCCTCTACTTAAACACTCTCTGATCATATCTTTCATAATACCACCAGATAAGCCGCAATCCTTCATGTAAAAGGTATCCAGTTTTGGAGCAATAATACATAAAGAAGCTAGTAAACAACCATCAATGTTGCTCAAATTATTTTTACTGATTGTCAGACGACTTAATTCTAACTTGATTACTCTTCTTGAAAACTCTCTCATCACATCATTCATAATAATACCAGATAGACTGCAATTCTCCATGTGCAGAACAACTAGCTTATGGTCAATCATAAATAAAGAAGCAAGCTGAGAACAACCATCGATATTGCTAAAATTATTACTACTGATTTCCAGAGAACTTAATTCTAACTTGTCACCACTCTCTCTGATCATATCATTCATAACACCTGATAAGCAGTAATTATTCATGTAAAGGTAATACAGTTTAGGAGCAATAATAAATAAAGAAGCTAGAGTACAACCATCCATGTGGCTCAAATTATTACTACTGATATCCAGTAAACGTAATTTTAACTTGACTCCTTTACTTGAACATTCTCTGATCATATCATTCATAATAACACCTGATAAGCTGCAATTATTCATGTTAAGTTCAACAATTTCAGGAGCAATAATCAATAAAGAAGTTAGTGAAAACCCATCGATGTTGCTGAGATTATTACCACTGATATCAAGGACCTGTAATTTTAATTTGACTTCTCTAATAGAACACTCTCTGATCATACTCATAATAACACCTGATAGGTTGCGATTACACTTGTCAATATTAGGCCTATGAATAGACCTAACTCCATCTTCCCATATGTTCATTCCAAAGCAATGTGTACAACCTTCAATAATTAACTGTAATTTTGTACTTTGTACTAAATGAATATATTTAAGTTGTGGCGCATTACTCAATATATAAACTAAATACGAAGTAGTAATCGAAGCATTGTACAATGCACAGTGGTTAATTTCTAATTTGATATTAAGTCTTTGGTATTCAGATGTTAGGTATTTAGCATCATCAAGCGTCAACACACTTTGGAGTGCATTGAAACGACGTTCATTAATTGGTGCAGCAATCCACATGTGAGCATATAGTCGTCCTCTCTGTTCAGCTGACTTTTCCTTACAGAGGTTTCCAATGAGTTTGTGATCCGATATTAAATATATCATTTTATCAACTTTTCTTTTAAGTTTTATGAAATGCTCATCTTGACTTACTTCCACATCAGGATTAATGTAATGGATGAACTTCCTCATAGAATTACACACATCATCAATGTGAGGTTTTATTTCTAAATCTGTCTTGGTCATGTGATCAATAAGTGCCTTCTCTACAGCTTCCCTGTGTTTTTCTGGCATGGAATTTAAATGTTCTATTAACCCATGATAAGTTAACCAATTATTTGTTATCCAATGGTTCAAAAACTTGGCAGCATTAGCACCTAGGAATTGAATTGCAAGGTCTCTTGTCAACCTTAAATGTGTACTTTTTCTTATTATCTCCCATTCATTTTCATTTAATGGCGCCAGTACATTGTTCATTTCGTCCATACTCTTATTTTCTAACCCTTCTGCCTGACATATTTTGTATAAGTAAAATGCTACCAATGACTCGACTGTAAACTTGTGATGAGTTGTAAAAATTATTTCAAAATCAGCTTTTGAACTTGGTGCTTCTTTGTAAACAAATCCAAGATTCAAAGCCAAATCAACAATTTCTTTATTTCCTTCCAAATGTTTTCGGTTTATGTAGAGCCGGTTGACCTTTAAACCCTCATACATACACTTCCCTAACACAAGCATAGCTTTGACAACATTTTCTGGGATATCTTCAAATCTAGAGATTTTGTTGCATGTTTGTTTGTTGAACTGATTCAAGATGCATCGAAACAACTCCTTACAAAGATCAGCTATATCATTTGGAAGATGTTGCCTATCTTCCCACATGTTGCAGATTGCAAGAAGCAACATAGGATTCTTACACATTGCATATACCTTAGAATGTATAATATCCCTACTAAAGGTTTGCAACTTTAAGGTAAGAGAGTCAGCCAATGCAGGCATTCTCATGTAATCGAAGTGTTTCTTAATGTATTTTTCTATGGTATTGCGACTGAATCCCTGAACCTTCACATGTACGTTACTGTTCTTGATGAACTCGTCTATTTGTTCACATCGAGATGTAAGCATCACCTTGCTGTTTTTCATTTTTCGTCTTTCGAAAAAGCTTATTGGACTCTCACTACCATCTCTCAATTCATCTAATCCATCCAATAATATTACAATATCGTCATCATGATTCATTATAAATCGTCTGATTAATTTTGGATCATCGGGCAGATCTGTCTTAACAAACAATTCCTCTAGGTCTATTTCTTTTACAATAGTATCTACTATTGTTCTACCTTTGTCTATATTTCTGATATTAACCAGAAATACTATTTTACCTTTGAAGGTATCTGATTTATTGGAAGCCCAGCTGTATGCAACATACCTGAGGAGGGTTGATTTTCCAATACCTGCCTCACCTTCTATAAGAACTTTACATGCAGATGAAGATTTTACAATCTCTAAAACCTCCTCTAATGTTGTTGGTATATCTTCCTTGTTATTCTCCTGCACTAGTTTCAGATCAGTGAACATGTGTGCAATGTCTACATGGTATCTATTACGCATAATTGCCGGTGTGAACCGGGTGGCATTGGAGCACATATTCTTTTGATAAGCGAGCAAATATTCTCTAATAATAACATCTGAATAAGAAAGAAAATGCAAAAGGTAAAAAACTTTATATAGTTATGAGCTATCCATACTTAATGATCAAGACATTTGTAATTTTGGACAACACCAAAACATATATATTTTTTTTCAATTCAAATCAATTCAAAATCCTTTTAAATTTTTATATACATACACACCTTGTGATTCTAAATGTGGCCTTTTTGATATTGGTGGTGCCACTTCATCAACTGTAAATAAAAATAGTTTTTGCAGGTGAAAAATATGTCAGAAATGCAAATTATGTAATAATTGCAATTAATATTTCGATGGTTTATTTCAATAATTACCACATACTGCAGAGTGTCCCCAACCTTTCAATAATAATCACAACCAATTTTATCCCCAAATTAGGAATAGTTTCATAATTCTCTGCTGGACATTGAAACTTTTAAAACAAATTAGTACTCAATCTGGGTTGATTTCTTTAAGATTAGAGGACTACAATAGCATAGTTACAGCAAGATTAACATTTCTTCTATGACATGATGTGCATTGACACAGACTTGTATTTTCCAGAGAACAATTAACTGTTCCCTGTATTTTCAGTGTTTACAGTTATGTATAGGTGTAATTTTTGCTCTACCTGACGTGAAAATGTACCGAATACTCAGTACATTTGAAAACAACTGCGAAAAAATCGCAAGTTGTTCTCGGGTGGGACTCGAACCCATGATCTCCAGATCACTAGCCTGGCATCATACCTCTAGACCACCGAGCTTGCGCCTGATGGCCAGGGTTGAATTCGAGTCCAAGTAAGCAGCGGGCACTGCAGTGTTGATAGTAATTGTTATTGTCGTGATGGAATAATTATAGACAATAACTGGATTTCCACGTCAGGTAGGGCAAAATTACACCTATACATGTTTCTCCTGATGCAAATCCAGTCATTGTCTATAATTATTCTATCACGACAATAACAATTACTAGCTTACAGTTATGTTATTAAATACCACAACACAACATACCTTCAAGTAAAGCCTTCTCAGCCAAGCCATTGCTATAATACATATAATAATTACCTTTATCGGGCTGTTTCTGCGCATGTGAGCTGCTTGATGTAGCCCCATCATCACTGTTACCTACAAACATATTGGAAATTGCAATTTAGATGTTTCAGTGTCAACAACATAGAAGTATATTGTTGTCAACCTCTATAATAATAGTTACAATGACCATCAAGTTATATTGAAATAGAAAATCCTAATTAAGTATCACCTTTTTAATCCACTGCTAGATCATGAAACTCAGTTTTTTTTGTTTACAAATTAGAATTGATTAAAAATGTTACATATTATTAAAAATATTACATATTATAAAAATTATGGACATCGTCAAGCGAATTATTTTCATCCCTGAGGTTAATTATCAAAATAACTATTTCACTGAAAGTAGCAGTATACCTTCAGGTAAAGCCTTTCCAGCCCAGCTATTGCTAGGTAATGCTTTGGTAAATTCGTCCAACTTTCCTCCACAAAGTTCCTTCCTTTGCTCTAGATCCAAAATCAAACTCCAGCTGTCTCTATAGTTTTTTAACAGCGGCATATTATATAGTCCATCAAGTGTTCTTATATCATCTGTAGTCATTGTCATTCCAAGCCTCATTAGTTTTTGTCTGTGCCTTGTGAATGTAAACACTTCACGTTCCTTGATGCTTTGAAAAGATGGAAGTAGACTGATTGATTTGAAGCCAAATTGTCCAGTTACTATTATTGTGTCATACAGGATAGTGAGATTTTTTGAACTCAAGTTCCCGGACGCAATTAACATACGTAGTAAGGACATAACCTCAGTAGCCTCATTTAACTCATTATAAATTGGTACATGGTCCTTATACAGAACTTTCAGCATATTGATGTATCCAAGTCCATCATACCATTTTGCAAAGTCTACCAACAGCTGTCTGAAAATACCCTCTGAGATTCCTATAAGTGATAAGGAAAAATAAACAGTAATAATATTAATGTAAATAATTTGTAACAAAGAAACTGTACTGTAGAATAGTATTATTTTATTTGTATGATTTGTAGGGCTAAAGTATTTATGATGGGGGAAAAAGAACATATTAGCTCTGTGTTATGTTTCATAAGGAAAATGAAACTGTTGTTTTAATTACTATCAGGCATAAGAAAAATTACACATTGTTAAAAGATCTTTTAACAAAACTAGCAATGAGTACGCTGATGCTACCAGAGAATATGATTTTGTAATAGCACCTCATATTTCTCTAGATGAACTCTCTGTGTGGTTGCAAGTAACAGTAGCATGGACACTGTTTGATAGTTTGAAAACCAATCGCATTGTGTTGTTAGTCTCATCAAACTGCTGTCATATCATTATCATATACTTATTTCAATAATTAAAATTAACCTCATGCATCCTACCTTCATCGGACTGCCGTGGCGAATGTGTGTTGCGTGGTGAAGCCACATCATCGGCGTTATCTGCAAAAACAAGACATGCCGCAAATTTCTGAAATTAAAAATATCAGTAGGCCTAATATTAATACAAATAACAGTGCATTTACCGAGTAATATAATTTGCCTTACCTTCACTTGATGACATGATTTCAATGATAGGCTGCTCACGTACTAAATACAATCTTGTTTAGGACAACCAGTAATTTTTACCTGAAATGACAATCAGTAAATCCATAGGTTATTGGGTTATCAAATATTACTGTATTATTAAATAATTACACATTTGCGGGTCTCCCCGATGCTCTCACGCATAAGTGTAATGCCTTATATATCTATAGGCCTACTATTTATGACCTTTGTAGCCCTCTTCTTCAAAATTCAGCAGTACTTAAAGTATCGTAGGAGTAACCATGTGTACCAGTTAGCTACGAATATATTTGTTTTAAGCGCTGTCCAGATATGATAAAGGGAAAATGCAGATCCTAGAATGCGTTTTCGAGCATTTAGAAAATAAAATTTCCCGGGGTTAGATCGAGCCCCAAACACCTGGGGGTTTTTCTAACGTCTCACGTCTACACATTTGTCTAATTTGGAATCTCTGGTTCTACCCCCCCCCCCCCCCCCCCCCCCCGCACACAGACACGCACCACCCATCGGAACCACCGTTGTTTTATTAGCCTTAGTATTATTGTCGTTCTGCCAAGTAAGCCTATTCATTGACTCGAGTAGTGTCCGATAATACACCCTGAATATACAATGTAGCTACGACTGCCTTACTTTAATTAAAATATCCATGCAAATTGGCCTAATTTCTTTTTATTGTCAATAGAACACCGTAGAAATAAGTTCTTGTTCGAGGTATTTCTCCCAGTAACAGTAGGCCTAGGCCCTAGTCCTCCCTATATTCCTGCAGGTAACTGTTCTGCTTAAAAGCTAGGGCCTGCCTAACCAGGGAGTTGTTATTTAGATCTAACGGTTCTATCTGTCTCCCTCGGCTAGCCTACACCTAGCCTAGGCCTAGGCAATATGTAGCCTACATCGGCCTATATAATATTTACCTGCTAATTACTATATTCCTGGTTACAACCATGTTACAACAAGAACAGTGGGAGACTAACAAAATATTAAAATAATGATATTCCGGGTTCAAAAACGCTGTTCTAAAATTCTAGGTGTCCCCATGGTGACAGAAGGTGAGCGTGAAAACTATTGAATAAACATGACAATACATGAATAAACTTAAAATAACATGAATAAGAAAGTATAATACATACTCCAAGTATTGCATCGTGTTGGGATTCAATAGTGTTTAAATTTTCATAGAGTAGAATTGGAGAAGTGTTGGAAAAAGCGAAAACAGAAAGGCAGTTGAAGAACACCATAAGAAAAAGACAATGGAGATTTGTTGGACATATTCTAAGAGAAGAAGGTGGAATTGAAAGACATATCATCGAGATGGAATTGAAGGGGAAAAGGGGGAAAGGAAGGCAAAGGATGAAGACGCTTGATTGGATGAAAGAAAAGCTGAATGTGAAGAATGATATAGAGCTTGGGAATATTGCGAGAGATAGAAAGAGATGGAAAAAGACAGGACAGACACTGACAGACAATCCATGAACGCCTACGGCATAATATGCTATGGTACACGAAGAAGAAGACCAGTTTCGGGAGCTGTCAATAATGTTAGTACTAGAAAATATTAAACCTAATTTATTTACTTACATTACAGACGACATTATCATTTTCAAGTATACCCTGTAATCCTAAAACATATTGGAATGCCTCACAGTTTTTAACATGATCAAATATAACACTATCAGATCGTGAAGAATGTTCTTTAAGTCTTATTAAGCACCTATCTGTCTTACCAATATAATCACTATTGCAGCCTGGACATTTAAAATGATAGACAACAGAACTTCTGTACTCCTTAGGGGTTTGATCCTTAGTAGATATAAAATGAGAAACATTTTTATACTGCCAAAAATTCATAACTTTATGGCAGTATAAAAATGTTTCTTTGATCATTAGAGTAAGAATGCTTTGATCTTTTGTTTAAATCACTGCTATGTCACCTACTAGAGGTAATGTTTTGATTGGTTAAACACTTTTGGTACTAGTGCATATAAGCTTGCTAATATGGATAATTTTTTTCA